ACTTTGACACTTGGGAATGGAGGCAGGAGGATCAAAGTTCCAATTCAGCCTGGACAACATAATGTGACCCTATCTCTAACAAAAAAGGTGTGACACTGGTCTGATCTCTTCTGATAATACCTTAAGGACCTTTTTTTAAATTTTTAAAATTTTTATTTTTTAAAGTTCAGGTTTCCCCAATATTGCTACAATTAGAGCAATGGCAGGCAGGGATATGTGGGTAAGTAGATATTGACTAGCTAGCCTTCTGGAAGGCAGTGTCAAGACATTCACCTGTTGTATTCACACAGGCCTCAGAAGGAAGATGATGGTTGCATTGCCAGCTCAGTCTTTTAGACAGAAATACCAAGGCAGGAAAGAATCACACACCCAGGGCCACAGGGTAACTGGAGTGTGAAAACCTAGGAGTTTGCACTTTTAAGCTAGTTATCTACCCATTAGCTAAAGCTATCGCTCATCACTACTGGAAAGATGATAGCAATGAGCACAACTCCCCATCTGGGAAATTACTCCAGATCTTCCTGTCCCTGGCAGTGTAACAGGGGATTGCCTTAAATAGACATCTGTATGGGGGTGAGGAGGTATCACCAAGCATATGCTCTCCAATGGGACACAGTAAACAGCTCAGTCATCACTATAGCAGATCAATATATAATCATTTCCAGTTATATGGTTCAGATGCAGCCCAGATTCAAGGATGGGGACAAGACAGCCAACCCACTCTTTCTGGGTGATCACAAACACAGTTCATCACACTCTACTCTATGGGGAACACTAGCAAACTTGATTAAATATGTTTTGAAGACCATGTAACTTTAGACACAATTATTAAACCTAGTTGCATTAAGTGTTAGTGTGATCACTCCCATAAAGACAATACATAAAGAATAGTATGACAGTTTTTCAGCAAAATTTTGTGAAGACTGGCAGTGGGGCTAGAATTGCTCATTCCTGCCACCCAACTGGGCCAGGCTGGAAGAGATGTGAACTCTTTGGGTGTCCTTTGAGTAAGAGGTAAGTCCTCTAAGAGGTCCTTGGCTGCTCTAGGCTCCAGGATCACGAAGAAAATTACGTGTATAACTTCTGGTTCTTTCAGCTCTAAGGGTAGCCATATCATATGCATACTAGATCACAGCCCTGACCAGACTTCTTCCTGACTCAGGGAGAAGAGCCAAAGCCAACAGGAACCAATGACTTGGAAGAAGCACCTTATAGATGGAAAAAAATAAGTGGAACAATGAAATGGGGGAAAGACACTCTGGCTGGGAGGTGGCTGGAAACGACAGTGGCTCTAGACTAAGTAGTGCCATCAAAGCACACATGTAAGGAAAGTGTGATGATCAGGACTTGAGTCAAAGGAGGACAAGTGGAAACTTAGGCCTTGGCTGAACTTCATAGATGTGAGGAATGGGTATAAAAAGACTATAATTTTTGGGGCTGGGAAGGTGGCTCAGTGGTAGAGCACTTGCTTTGCATGCTCGAGGCCCTGGGTTCGATTCCTCAGCACCACATAAGAAAAAAGCCGGAAGTGGCACTGTGGCTCAAATGGTAGAGTGCTAGCCTTGAGCTGAAGAGCTGAGGGACAGCGCCCAGGCCCAGAGTTCAGGTCCCACCACTGGACCCCCCCCCCCAAAAAAAAAAGACTATAATTTTTGATTCAAAACAGAGAAACAGGGAAGGATTCCTGCTTAGCCAACTCTTAAACAGGACAATATACTTCATTAAACACGGTGCCATCTTTCACTGCCTAGTACCCTGCAAGCTAACTTCTTGTTACCTCCTTGGCAGAAGTCTGGCCTTGTGGCAGTGACCCACTACATAGTCCTTTCCACAATCTTGATTCTTCTCCAGTCAGTTTATGCTTTCATACATGGTAGTGAATTGGAAGACTATGCAGCTATGGTATCATACAGAGGGCTGAATAAGTGCTCTAAAATATAAAATCTGTGTGCTTCTCTTTTCCTTTAATAATGCCTACGTGCAGTAACTGCGGAGAGCATGCAGAGGGCAAAGAAATTTGGGTTTCAGATGAAATAATATGGACAAATGTTTAAAAAATTACATGAAAGGATGGGGCAGAGCCAAGGATAGTCACATTTTCAATATACCTGGTGACGTTTGGTTATCAAGAGAATAGGACAAGGCACAAACAATCAGTTCAATTTCAGCCATCCAGAAATAGCTTGACCCAAGAGAGTGAAGAGCAATATGTCACAGTGGAGGCTGCGGGCTCACCCTCTGGCCTCCGTACCATGGCCCGTTTTTTCTTTCTGGAGTCCATAGGAAGGAACTCTGTTTCCAGGGGCAATGATGCATGGATTCTCTCCTTTGCTAGATCTTTAGGGGGAGAGTGGAAGGGTAAAAAAAAACACTGTGCGACAAGACAACTTATGAAACAGGTAAAGGTACCACACAGGAAAAAGTAAATAAATGGTACTCATACAAAACAAAACCTTTTCTTCATTCCTTCAACCATTCAGAAAACAGTTTTTGTACATCCTATGATGGAAGTGCTCAAGAAAGTTGGCTGAAACTGGTTCTTTCAGTCAACATCTTTAATTATTTGTAGTCTAGGTATTACTCTGATTTCCTCTGGATAATAATCTTTCAAAACAGCCTGCCCAAATAATCATAAAAGCAGTTAGGAAAATGCAGAAAGGTTCTTTATTGAGAGACCTTCAACATAGGGCTATGAAAGACTTGGCTACTATAATCAAGATAAATAAATACCAATTTTGGATGAGACTAAAGATCTGTAAACTCATATGGCAGGGGCATCAAAGGTGGAGAAAAACTTTGACTCTTTAACCAGGAAACATTAACAGATAAACAGACCATGGGAAAATCACAAGAAGCATAAGACAGTAAAGAGTGCTCGGCCACTCATTCCTTTCTTCTTCTTCTTCTTTTTTTTTTTTTTTGGTTGGTTGTGGGGCCTGACTGAACTCTTGGCCTAGGTGAATTCATTCCTTTTAGTAGTCAGTATTTTTGCTGAACTCCTTGTACTTTGAATATCACCAGTGAGCTGGGTATATAACTAGGAAGAAAAGTGGCTGAGAAAATCAAGAATTAAAAAATAAAGAAGGAACTTGAGGAGATGTGAAACAATAGAGAGATCACTCTGGTGAGAAGCTGACATAGAAGTAAGTGATGATAAATGAGACTGTGCCAGCAGGTGTCTCTGGCAATCCAATAAGGGGTTTCCCCCCCTATCCAAAGCACAAGAAACAAACAAAGGATCTGCTGCTGCTTCCCTCAGAAGGTCATACACTTCAATGCACTAATGAAAGTCAGAGGGGAATTCTACAAGATTTTCCCCTTCCACCTAATCTCTGGGCCTTTTCAAAATCTGCAATGTGGCCTGGTAGACAGTAATCAGAGTAGATTCTGTTTCTTTTGGGGGGGAGGGGAGAAGGAACAAGGCTTGAACTCAGGGCCTAGGTACTGTTCCTGAGCTTCTATGCTTAAGGCTGGCACTCTACCACTTGAGCCACAGCTCCACTTTCAGTTTTTTAGTGGTTAATTAGAGGTAAGAGTCTCATGGACTTTCCAGTTGGCTTCACATTGTGATCTTAGATCTCAGCTTCCAGAGTAGCTAGGATTACAGGCATGAGCCACTAGTATCAAGCTCTAAGAGTGGATTCTTGAAACATTTCTGTAGCAGAGGGTGGGGGCTATCCTTAATTGATAAAAATTCAAGCTACAGTGTGAATTACAAGATGGGAAGTAGGAATGCCAATGTAAAGGCATTCTACTACACAAGTAAATATATCTCATTACAAAAACAAAACAGAGCAATGTGAATCTAATGGCGTGATTAAATAGGGCACTAATATTAACATGGCCTACACATCAGATACATTACTGCCCAGGTTGTTGTGCATGACGTTTGGGAAATGAAGCACGAATCTCTTGAATTAAGAATTCAGGATCTGTTTTGCCAAATTTATTTCTTTCACAAAAATGAAAAGGTAGTGACAGAGAAATCTCAAAGAGGGGCAGCCACCAACAGCAAAAACATCATTTAGTCGGAAGTCAAAGAGTTGGATCTCTCGAAACCGGGGGAGCCCAAGATCAGCTCCTCAGGCTGGCCTGTTCTCTCCTGCCTCTCACATCTAATTTATTTTCTGGTTGTTCAAATCAAAATGAGATGCTGAAGCTTCTACACAGGTATCTGTTATCACTGAACATCCTAAAGAAGCCTATACATCTGCTCTCAAGTATCTGGAAAGACCAATGGGAGAGAAAATGTCTAGGAATACATAATCCTATAGCTCTGTGTAAATTCTGACATTGAAAAAGGCTGGAGGAACCTGATAGATTAGATTGTAGAAGAGGGATAAAAGCAGGTCTCAATCTAAGTCTGAGCCCGGCACACTTCCCCGCTGTTCTTTTCTTGTGCCCACCTAACAGGATGAATGGCTGGCATACTCCTAGAAAGAAGATGGATCTGTTGATGATGACTTGAGCAAAATTAGCAGGTAGAAGGGCCCCACAGCAGCTGAGAGCCTAACTCCTGCTTGCAAGAGCTAGCCCAACAGGCAGAAGCAGAAATACAATTAAATTAAGTCAGAAAACCCGCTACAGAAAATGCAATTACTCAAAGATACAAATAAATGTTCAAAGAAAATTGGCCCCTGACAGGGTTAGTCAAGCTTCTAAATCCAGCTGGAGGCAGGCAGCTCAGGCTAATTCGCCAAAGAGGAGGACTGCAAAGCTGTAAGCTCTCTGCATTAGTATCCTGGCCGGCCTCACCTGGCCTGGTGTGCACCACACATTCCAAGTCACCAGTGGGGAGAAGCAACTTAGAGGTGGTTGGTCAGTGATGTAGGGCTCAAGAAAATAAGGGGTAGGTAGGCATAGAATGGCTCAAGGATGTTCACGAACATGAGCAGTAGAAAAGGGAACAGATTGATTTCTGACATGGCAGGAAAATGACACCAAGGAAACTCCTAGGCCCTGGGCCCTTCCATTCAGGAAGACACGCGGTGAAGCCCTACCTCTCGCTGCAGCACCAGCTCCTTGGTGAAAAGCGTGGCTTCCTCGCTGAATGGCTCTCCTTCCTGCACCAAACCCGGGAGGTTTCGGGCTCCTCGGGGACATTCAATGCCTGTGTCAAGAAAAAAGGAAAATTTGTGGTGAAATGTTCTAGTCTTTTGGCTTGAGCCATGAATGGCTCTTTCACCTACGTTATACTGCCAGCCCAGCTACTGGGCAGGTGACTCTCAGACATTTTCTCCTTATTATTACGCTTCAAATCAAATTCCAAAGTGTTAATTCAGTGTCATTTTCCCCTTCAAATACATTTTGCCTTCTGTCCTTAGGCTATATTTTGGATACTAGTACTACTGGTTTTCATTCGGAATGAGACAGAAGGGGTGGGGTGGGGAAGGAAGGGAAGAACGCAGAATACTGATCAAGTATTAGGTGTCTGTAGTCAGGGAGACCCAGAATTAGATCTAATCTATCACTTATTAGCTTCATGACCTTGACCAAATTACTGAACACTGTCTCAGTTTTCTATTTATAAGACAGATATAATTTATTTACTTCTTGAGCTGGCTGTGTGAACTTGCTTGGGAAGAGATTACTTATGTAAAACGTATTTAGAACAATGTCTGCCACATGGAAAGGTTCCCTATACTTGGCTACTATCAACATCCTCTTTATCATCATTAGCATTACTGCTCTTAGCAATTCCCATGCTTAAAAATCTCAGTGTTCTCGACCTTGTGGCTAGCCTCTAAGACCCCTGAGGACAGAAACCTATCCTTTTCTGGTTTGTATCCAATGTCTATACAAAAGAAGTGCTTACTAACTCACTCTGCCTGCCTTTTCTTTCTTTGATTCAATCACTCATTTTGAAGATATATTTATCACCAACAGTGGTCGTTTCTGACAGACCATGAAATATGTTGCATTTTGATATCTGGGTAAGACATAAATATTTCAAAGTAATTCATACTGCAACTGTAATTATGAAGCAAAAAGTTGAACTAGGCTACAGAGACAGGAAAAGAAAATGACAATTCAGGAGAGAAGGCTTTGTCTATGTGTCTAAACAGCTGGTGGTCCCTCTTGCTGCACTAATGCAGAGCTAGGAATATGCTACCATAACCATGAATAGACAAGTGAAAGGACCAGAAGCTTGGCCTGGGGAAGCGGAAGCAGAGCATCTACACAACTGCACACATCGGATGGATGCCTTAGGGAGAAGAGGTCACACCACTGCCTCCACAGAAGGTACACTTTTTTTAATGGGTAAAGCTGGGTGGCTATTCATGTTTCTGATATGGATTAAAGATCACCAAAGCCTAGAAGAAAGGAAGTAGCTTACATGTTGGTTCTCAGCAGGCACAAATCAGAAAGCATTCTCTTTGAGCCCCCAAGTCTCACCAAGTCTCAACAATTCACGTGAGGTGAATTGTGAGGTAGGGTGGGTAGTATTGGCAGGGACGGGAGGGGGAATGGGTGAGGCTTGAGCTGGTTATCAGTGAGCATTCGCCCATATCTTGAAAGAAAGGGCCAGTTGAAGGTCCTACCCAAATGTCACCTGGTTGAGAAAATAACCAGAGCTGCCTCATTCTCTGTACTTCAGAGCCAGGTGGCTGGAGGTGTGGACTTGTTATACAAAAAGAACCATAGGAGCCAAAAAACCTGGGATTAACCCCAAAGGGAGAGAGAGAAAGAGAGCTAGAGTAAATGGAATGAAATATAACCCATGTTTTCCACAACATCAATAGCCAAAAACACTTTTCATTTTATATCTGCAAACTAAGCAAGAGCAGAATTGCCAGAGAGAAAAATAAATGATTCTGTTGAACTATTTTGCCACAAACCCACAGATAAAGCATTGCTGCAGAAACAAGAGTAATACAAGGGCAAGTGTTCAGTCTGTTCCATACCTCAAAGCAGAGCTGGGGTGCAGTGGGGTAGGGCTGGAACAAGATCAGGCAATACTCGGGCAGCAGAAGCTAGGGGAAAGGCTTTTGTCTAGAAAGGCATGGCTCTTCTCAGCTGTCACTTTACTCTTTGTATTCTGGAGACCCTCAGGTGATGAAGTGGAGAAAAGATGAGGCTCAATAGGCCCAGGGAGTTAAACAAATCAAGCAGAAACACATTCAAAACATTTTCAACAGAGGGTCCTTTGGGCCTGTAGAAACCAAACCCACCCACTGTATGTAGATGAAAAGGAAAGAAGCCTTTGTTATGTTGCTTTTCTGCACCCCAGCAGCTGGGTTCCAGCTTGTCAAGAGGAAGAAGCTGGAGCAGGTTGTTTAAAGTGGAAATAAGTAAACTCTATTCACATCTATTCCAGACATAGCCAAAAAATTTCTCTTAGACATGTCGCCTCTGAAGTGACCCCTTATCAAGGGATAAGGAAGCTCTAGATGGGATGCTTTAAAGAGGGAGCAGGACCTATGATCAAACCTCAAAGCCAGGAGAGCAGGAAGGATTTTAATGTATTTGAATGTCTGAGTGATTTACATTTGCTCAACCCAATTACACCTGCAGATAAAAGGTAGTGTGAGGGTGTTTCAGAATTTTAATGTTTTTAAATTATCGATTACATATGCATTTCTATGGGCATGTATGCTTTAATTAATCTTGACTAAATGTGATATATGATAGCCTGTCTTCTACTGTTTTATTAAAGAAAAAAATCAAGATGGCTTTAACAATGAAATGGAAGACTAGTGGGGTGCAACACACAGCAGGAGAAGCACTGGAAGAGACTGAGGTACAAAACAGAAGGCTAAAAGGTTGGGCAGAGCTCTGAGTCTTTGCTGCATTATTTGAAAGCTGTTCGGCCTGGGGGTTTATCAGTTCCAAACTTGTTTTGTGTCCTAAGGGATCAAGAGACAGTAAGGGATTCACTGTCCAGAGACCATGCAAATGTTAACCTCCTGCTGGAAAGGCAGTCACTGCTACTACATTCCAGGCAAATGTGTGTGGGTGTGGGTTTGGGGAGCCCTCTTTCACCCCCCCCCCCAGCTCTTCCCAGGGACGGGGAGCAAGTCAACCTAGAGTATGCTGCCCCTTCCTTCAAATGAGGTCTGTACTGCTGACTGCTGGCTGGGTTGTGCTGTTGCCTCATCCAATAAAATGGACTTAAAAAGAATCAACAAAGATAAAGAAAGTAAGCAGAGGGGAAGAAAGGTAGATTCTCAGAAAACAGCCCAAGGCTGCTGCAGCCAGCTGCAGGCAGGCTGACAGGCAGTGATGGAGAGCTCCCAAGGCACGAAGGGCTTTAGACTGAAAAGACATCACTGGAATTCCCAAAGTTCTCCCCAGCCAGTGAGGAAAAACGCGTAATTCTAGACCCTACATATCATCACTAATAGCTGTCCTTTCCAATAATGCGCTGGCATGGTGCTGCCTGTGGTCAGGATATGCCGACTCAGCTGTGTGCCCAGCACTTACAGGTGTGCCGTAGGTACCTGGCTCACCCTTGACACTGATAAATTACTCAAAAGCAGAAATACTTAATTTAAAAAATATAAACATTCTTGAGCACTTTTCTTACCTTTGATGAGCTGTGTCAGAATGAAGAGTATGACCCAGGGGGGCCACAAGCAGATACAGAAGAAGCAGGTGAGTCCCATATTCTTCCTCCAGCTCCAATGTTAGGGAGCTCCCTAACCTCAAACCACACAGATCATCTTGCCTAAAGGTAAACAAATTTTTCTACTTTTTCTAGGTTTTCCAGCATATGAATGGTTAACTAAGATTGCTTAAAATGAAGCACAATAAGAAAGGATATTTTGTCTGATTTGTGTAGGGTACAGGAAGAAAAACTCCATTGTTAACCATCAGTACATCACGGTTCTGGTTCCTGTTCAACCACTGAAAACTAGTCAACTTTTCCAGGCTCACAGTCTGTCTATAAAATGAAGAATCTGCAAAGTCTTGCCCTGCAATAAAATCCTACCATTTTGCTCATGTGTCCTTTGTGTTTCTTTGCCTAATTGTTGACTCCTAGAGTACAGGATGCCTTCTTTCAAACTTAAAATGTTGGACAATGGAGTAATAATCATCCTTATTAAAAAAATTATACATTTAGAGACATTGACTAACTAGGTCAATTAATGCAAACACTTTGGTCATTTTGCTTTAGAGCAAGAAGAAAAACTTGCTAATGACAAGATAATAGCTATATAAGAGATTCCATTGATGGTGATGTGAAGGTTATGTATCACTCTGAATATTTTACACTGTATGTTGAGTTTTATGATAATTAAGCCTCCATACTCACAGTGTGTCTGTATTTTCTTCAGTTGGGCAGTGGGAGCTAAGAGGAAGCATGGCAGATCTGCCTTGGCTAGAGTTAACATGAAAGCTTCCCAAAGACACTTAGTAGTCCAGCAAATAAGAGGCTAGGCATTAACAAAGGAAAGACAATTAGTGGAAAGAAACTACTTTGAATGATGCATGCCCACCATGTTCTTACTGCTACATGGAAGGGACAGGAGGCATGAAGCAGAACACTCCTCTCTGCCCACTTGGGGCCTTTAAAACCACACTACCTAGATTGCCTTCCTTTCCCCTATTTCACAAATACATCTGTCTCCTCTGGGCCAAGCAGAGGTTGAAATAGACCTTGTTCTAGAAAAGATAATTTTCCTCTACTACTAAATAAGGTATGCTCCCAAATTTGCCATTTGGTCTAGGTTTCAGGGTGTTAGCCTATGTAAATAACTGGGTTGTATGAGATGTAAGTCTTTCTGGGAGACTATCGGTGAAACGCAGTGGGAGTCAATCATGGGGCTCACTATGCCGCATCCCTTGCTTCGGGCAGCTATGTTCACCACCACACGATGTTGGCCTGTTCTCTCCCTTTTCCACAAATGGAAATGGGAAACAGGAGCAGTAGGTGGAGGATGACAGAGAAGGGTTGGACAGATGCTTCTGCTAGTTTCAAATAAGGCCAATCTGCAGTCAGGCCAGCAAGAAGAAAGAAGCTGTTTTAACCAAACTGGTAGGTACCAAGTGAGCCAAGACAAGTGCCCTTCTGGAATTGGAACTGGGCATAGGAGCCTGAGGAAGGAGGAAATAAATAGAAAACTAACTTGAATTAAACACTGAAGATTTTCAGGACAATCTGAGACC